ACAAGAGGCTCCTCCCCACAGAGGCTCCTCCCCAAACACAGAGGCTCCTCCCCAAACAAGAGGCTCCTCCCCAAACACAGGCTCCTCCCCAAACACAAGAGGCTCCTCCCCAAACACAAGAGGCTCCTCCCCAAACACAGAGGCTCCTCCCCAAACAGGCCTCACACACAAATAATGAGTGACCTCTGCCAGCCCCAACCCCATTCCTCTATCCCACAGTCACCCCCAGTCCAGGGTCCTTTTGAGTTCACTCCTGCCCGATGCGAGCAGGCCATTTTATAACCAAGTTTCTTTTTCACAATCCTTTTTAATCCCCTCATGAAATTTTCAAATGGATGTTAAAGGAGGTAGCCAGAATGGTTTGTGAATAGCAGTGTTCCCCTCCTGAGCCTTAAGTCAAAGGTCCGACAGATTGTATAATTACTTTAGTTCATAAAACTTTACAAAGCAGAGATCTAATTTTCCTTCCCTTTCTGAAACAACACAGAGCCCCTCCCAGCCCAGCTGTTGGCCTGACTATCACATCAGTGCCCAGCCTAACTGGAGGGCAGTGTCCAGTTCATCAGCAGCAAGGCCACAGCCAGTAGAGTGCCATGTGCCCCAGTGTTCACCTGAATAGACTGTCTTAGACTTTTCCTTTTACAACGCTGAGCTGTAGTTACCAGGTATCTCTTTTACCATGGTTGGAGGTACCTGGCCTGCCCTGCAGAGGCAGAGCGTTTCTCTAGAACTCTACCCGTCTGTTCTTTTGTTTGCACATCAAAAATAAAAAAGGCACAGGCTTAAGGATCATGAGAAAGAGCAGCCTAAGCCACCTTCATTGTTTTGAAGTAGGTTTAGTTTTGTTGGCTAAAAGAGATAGTAAACTTTGAGTCTGCCTTGTTGTCCTAGAGTGCCCAGTTTCTACAGCTTTTTCTGTTGCTTTTGAGTTTTCCAATAAGATGATGTTTATTTGTTTGTTTGTTTCCCAGAGTTCCTGTCAAAACTATGAACTCTAACCATGGTCATCTTAAAAGACTGTCACTAGGTTGAAAATTATTAGGGAAACTGGGAAGGGCAGAGAATGAGGGCAAAGGTATAGAAACAAAAAGGAAATGAAGTATGAGAAAGTTAGAAATAATTGCTATTTCTGACATAAGCTTTCATACTGTCTTTAATTAAAGATTAGAAATTGCTTGTTCAAGTGCTGGACAAGCTGTCCTGCCTCAAGGATAAACAGTGTGGCAAAGAAGACAAGGTGCTCCTCAAAGACTGGCATGCCTTAACCTTGAGTTGAGAGTAAGGATTTGTATTTAGTGTTGCAAACCGTACCCACCTTAACAGACAGGCGGGCATGCAGGAAGGCCACAGCCAGTGAGGACAGCCAGCTTAGGGTTCTGGTCCTGGTATGATGGAACTAGAAGAGAAAAGATGGTTAGAAGAGAAGCTCAGATCCGTATGAGCTTTAATGCCGGGGGGTGTCACAGGAAAACTGCAGTTCCTCATTCACAGAGCTTGTCCTGTTGCTTTTGGACTTTTTCATCTCATTGTGGTTTTAACTTGCATTTCCCTCTATTAATGACATTGTACTTTTTTTCATATATTGGCCATTTGTGTCTTTTTTTGAGGAGCTTCAGGACAGGTCTTTTGCCCATTTTTTAATGAGGTTGTTCATTTTTCTTCTTGCTAATGTGCTTGAGTTCTTTGTGAATTCTGGATGTTAGCCCTTTATCAGATATGTAGCTTGTGAATATTTTCTCCTGTTCTGTAAATTATTTGCTCTGTTGATTGTTTCCTTAGCTGTGCAGAAACTTTTTAGTTTAACCATATCCCATATATGATTTTTGTTGTTCCATGATTGTCATTGGGATCATAGTCATAAACTCTTTTAAACGCTCGGCTAGGTAGAAGGTAAAAGGTAAACTCTTTTACCTAGCCCAGTGTTTAAAAGAGTTTTTCCCACATATACACAGAAGGAAGTAAAACTGAGTGGAAATCAGTAGGATGGAGAAGAAGAGGACAGGCAGAACCCTAGCTAATGTGTACAGTGAACACTGTTGGGTGGCAGTCCCCCCTGTAGCCGAGACTCAAGTATTACAACAGCATTCATGTAACCTAAAACACTTGTACCCCCTTAATATTTTGAAATTGTTTTAAAAAGCATGCATTGTCCTAAGAACAGTGCTGGAACATACACAAGTTCTGTCATTCACTAGTATTCCGGTATGCCGTTTTGAAACTGGAAATAGTGGAAAGGGATTATAAAAATTTCATCCAACCAACTCATGCCCCAGGATGAAGGACACAACCTGTCTCCCACCACACACTAGGTGCTTTCCACTTCGGCCCTTGAAACTTCTAGCAGTTTGGAAGCACTAGAGGTTATCAGTGGAGACATGATGTCATGCTCAGGAGAAGCATGACCTATCCTGGAGTCAGCCCTAACCCCAGAGCCCTGGATGTGATCCGTAGAGTTGCATCCAAGCTCAGGCTGTGCTACCTGCTCCCGTGTGGGAATGCAATTGAGGGTTTTTAACTTGCATTTCCCAATGCAAGTTAAAAAAATTCCAAAGGAGGTGAGACGTGGAGCATGACCAGATCTAGGAGCTCTGCAGACAGAGGCATCAGGATGCCCTTTGGGCATTTTATTCAAAATATGTTCAGTTTCATCACTTTAATTTCATCTTCATGGAAGGAGGTAGTTTGTTTTTTTTTTTTTAAGTAAAGTATCAAAATAGAACCGCACAATTAAAGAAAATTACGTATGAATTGCCTTGGGCTTTTTCACATTTTGCATAGAAAATATTTTCATTAGAGCAAATCCTTTTGCAGATTACTACAATTGTCTCTAACAATATATGCTGATGGGTTGTGCAGGTATTTTTAGACGTGAAGAGCTTCAGAGGATTATAAAGAGGAAGTATCAGCCTTTATTCTCCTGTCTTCATTTTCTTACCATGAGAGCAGATGATCTCACTTTATTTTGTAAATTAGTTACAGGACATATTAGTTTGAATACATTACTCTCTTAACATTCCTAGCTATAGCAAGATGCTGATAAGGGCATTTACCAGTAGCTTTGGAATGGTGTGCATTTGTAAATGTCCTTTGCCTGGAGTAACTGGCAAGGGGAGTTGTTTCCAAGGGCCCCAGGGGTAAATGTTACATTATGTGGCACGTGAAATCTCCAGACTGCTTGTAGAATTATGTTGGGAGTATTGATAAATGTCTAATTATAGTGGGGAGGGTGTGGTTACTTTGGTAGTCAAGTTGGGCAGAAAGTTGAGTATAAGCCCCATGAAAATTTAATTCGTACTCAAGTTTCCTGTAACATAATTTTAAGTATAATTGACATTTTAAGATTTTATTCACAGCATCATGAGGGGATTTGGGAATATATTTACCACAACAAAACTTTTGACTTATCTGCTGATTAAGTGTGGAAAATTATGGAGCATTTAGGGGTCCTCAGACTTTTTAAACAGGGGGCCAGTTCACTGTCCCTCAGACCGTGGGAGGGTCGGACTAAGGCCCGGGGCCCCAGGACCAGTTGGCTGCTAAGCAGGACAGGCGGCAGCAGTGGCAAAAACACCCGGCGGGGGGAATAAATGTCCTAGGAGGCCGCATGTGGCCCGCAGACCATAGTTTGAGGACTCCTGAATAGTATAATTATCTATTTTGCGGGGTAGTCTAAAAGCAATTCTAGTTTTTTTAACTATTAAAAATAAACTTGTGTTTAGTGGATGAACTTCATACATTCTTCATTTTCAAGAGAAAGTGTGTTTAAATACGTCTGTTGGCCAAAGTATGATAAGCGAAACATACTGACCTTTTCTTTTGTAACTTTTTAGAAGCTTTGTTGTCAATCCCATTTTTTGCCCATCTTTTCAGGTTTAAGGCGTTAAAGAAGTGACTCTCCCCAATACCTCTTAGAGATTGGGAGCAAGGGTCAGAAGTTTTGCTTTACGGTAAAAGAAACATTATAATTCAGGACATTGCAGATAGAGGCACATAACGGAATTCTTAGGAACTGGCCACACTGAACGAGCTGGGGAGCCAGCTCGGCTGGGCAAGACCCTCATTTCTACGTTGAGTTTCCTGGGGTTTGATCTGAGTTAACGCTGAGGGCGTGTTCGGGAGGCAGATCTCACCAATGGGAGGCAGCTGGAGAGTTCGCGGGTGGGAAACCTCAGCCCGCTCGGTGTCCCACGCTCCGCGCCGGCGTGGCCGCGGGCCGGGGGCGGGGTTAGGGGGGTGCCCAACGGAGGGGAGCGCTGCAGGGCGGCGGGGCGCGGAGCAGCGACCCGGGGGCGGCGGGGCAGGGCGGGCACAGGGTCTGGGGCGGGCGACGGGGTCACAGGGTGCGGGGCGGGCGCGCGGGGTGCGGGGGTGCCGGATGGGGGTGCGGGGTGGGCGCGGCGGGCGCCGCTGTTGCCGGAGCCGTGATGTCACCGCCCCCCTAACCCGCGGTTGGCTGTTCTCTCTTTCAGCCCTGCCTGCAGTTGAGCACAAAGACCAGGAGGAGACTCCCACGTCCTATAGGGAGGAGAAAGGAGGCAGCGAAGCAGATTAAAGAACTTGCGGCGTGTGGCCTTTCTGTGCAGGGGCGGCCCGGAAAGGGGGAGGAAAGTGCATCGGCGCCCCGTGGCGGTTAATGAGCTGCGAGATGAGGCGCCGCCGCTGCTGCTGACCCCGCGACCCTTACCCGCCTCCGGCCCCGCTCCGGGTACATGTGTCTCTCGAGGCCGTCCGCAGGCGCCCAGCAGAGCAGCCACCACGGCCGCCGGGGAGAGACCGCCCGCCATGCCCACGGAGAGCCTGCAGACGGGCGGCATGGTGAAGCCGGTCAGCCCCGCGGGCACGTTCACCTCGGCCGTGCCGCTGCGCATCCTGACCAAGGGGCCCGACTACTTCCGCCGGCAGGCCGAGCCCAACCCCAAGAGGCTGAGCGCGGTGGAGCGGCTGGAGGCCGACAAGGCCAAGTACGTGAAGAGCCAGGAGGTGATCAACGCCAAGCAGGAACCCGTGAAGCCGGCCGTGCTGGCCAAGCCGCCCGTGTGCCCGGCCGCCAAGCGCGCGCTGGGCAGCCCCACCCTCCGGGTGTTCGGCAACCACGCCAAGCCCGAGGGCGGCGTGCAGAGGGAGACGCTCAAGCTGGAGATCCTCAAGAACATCCTCAACAGCTCCGAGGGCTCCAGCGCGGGCTCGGGCCACAAGCACGGCCCCCGAAACTGGCCGCCGCCCAGGCCCGACGGGCCTGACCTGCACCGGCACTCGTTCGCCGAGTCGCTCAAGGTCTACCCCACGCAGGGCCGCGGCAGCCCCCAGGAGAGCGGCTCCCACGTGGGCAGGCGGCTGCTGGAGCCGTCGGCCGAGTCCTTCCTCCACGTGTCGCACAGCTCCTCGGACATCCGCAAAGTGACCAGCGTGAAGCCCCTCAAGGCCATCCCCTGCAGTAGCTCCGCCCCGCCCCTGCCGCCCAAGCCCAAAATCGCAGCCCTCACCACCACGAAGTCCCCCGAGGCCGAGCCGCTGGAACCCGCCTGTGGAGTCAGCCGGAGGCCCTCCCTCCAGCGGTCCAAATCAGACTTGAGTGACAGGTATTTCCGAGTGGACGCAGACGTGGAGAGGTTCTTCAACTACTGCGGACTGGACCCGGAAGAGCTGGAAAACCTGGGGATGGAAAACTTTGCAAGGGCTAATTCCGACATCATCTCGCTCAACTTCCGCAGCGCAAGCATGATCAGCTCAGACTGTGAACAGTCTCAGGACAGTAACAGTGACCTTAGAAATGATGACAGTGCCAATGACCGGGTGCCATATGGCATTTCCGCCATCGAAAGAAATGCTAGAATCATCAAGTGGTTATATAGCATCAAACAAGCTAAAGAGTCACAGAAGGTCTCCCACGTGTAAGAGACACGGTGGTGGAGAGAAGAGGGGGTGGGTCTCCTGTCTGTGCATACGCAGTTGTGAGGGTTGTGAGGTCTCCTTGAGGTGTTGTGAGCTTCTCACTCTTTGTGTTGCTCGTTGTGCAATGTTTTCGAGTTGCATGCCTGTCAACCTGGGGACTGACCTGGCTTCCGCGTCACCATCGCTGCAGATCCTGGCTGTGAATACGCGTCATCTGCCAAAAGTTAACAGCCAGAATCTAATTTGGGCTTGCCTTTAAGCAAAACTGTTTACACAAAAACGGTATATACACCTTAAATATTTATGTGATTCTTGTTTTTATATCCCGCGCTATTGTGTCTTAATTAAAAGTTTTATCAACTGGCTTTTAAGTTGAGAGCAGAATCTTTTTGAAATAAAAAGCCACTTTGCCGACCTGTGAAACCGTAACAGTGGGAGAATAAACGGGATCTGCTACCAAAACAGAGAGCAACTGACGGAACAGCACAGAACCAGGCTGGGTTTTCTGTGGAATAAAGTAGTGAGCCTGACGTTTATTGTTTACATGTTGAAATTCTCTTGCCCCTTACTGAAGCAATCGTTGGGTAACAGTGCAACGTTTTGTGTCCAAGTCAGTGTGTAAATAATGGCAGTTCTGTGTGATATCCTCAGAAGAGAAGACCAGATAACAATGAAGGATGGTTAAATCTAGGAAGTTGGGTGTTTTGGGGGGAGGGGTTGATGTTCTGATTTGGGATAATTCAGAAATTTCTAGCATTAACCTGTTAACAAGAATGGCCACCCTAAAACAGATACTGAATACCTTATAAGAAAAAAGTTGTGGGTTTGTTTTGTTTTGTTTGTTTCCTGAGTCAAGAACTACTAATTTCATGCTCTTTGTCTCTCCCTCTCGTTGTTGTTCTATTTGGGGAAGAGGGTAGGCCTTGTGCAGGTTTGAGCTATCTGAAGACACGAGCAAAAATCGGAAATACCAGCCATATCAGTAAGGCCTCCCGTTCCAGAGGGAACGTGAACCTATCTGAGCAGCGTGATTCTGTTGTCTTGAATATGTCATTCTCTCAGGCTGTGGGTCTTTCTTAACAACTCTAAGAAACTGTAGAAGCGTGACACTATGTAGCTTTTCCACCCCCTGGTTTCTAGTGCTGCCTATCAACTGTTCCCCCTTCCCCATAACCTGTCTTCCAGAAGGTTGGATCAGCTGTTAACCATCTGATGGCATGGTGTGGCCATAGGGGCACAGGCCTGCAGTTGGTCTGCCTGGTTGCCATACCCTGAAATTCCCAGCAGCACTACCTTAGACTCCATCAGCTAATAGGAAACTTTTTACGGTGTAAATGCTGTAAGACTTTGTACATACTTCAGTTGTTACGAATCTAAGAAAACAAAAGCAGAAGTTATGCTAATAAATCACTCTGGTGCAGGCACTAATGGTGGTGGTTTCTCTTTGTCCTTCCTTCCCTGTCCTCCCTCCACAAAAGTTTAACTCTAGAGTGTAAGTGAGAAGCAGATTTTTCATAGTCCTGAAGAGACGTTATTTCATTAAGTTATTTTCACCATTTCCCAATTATTCTGAACAGTAGTATTCTTAATCATAGCTACAGCAGTGTACTTCTGCTATAAAAGTTACATCAGGTTTCCTAAAATACACTGCTGTTTGTTTACTTATTTCACACTTCTGTTATTTTTGTCTTGTCTTAAACATTGGTATTTTTCACATCTTCCACAACACTTTTGGTGGTAAATATTTATGAGTTCTTACTGTGGAGGCATGCCTTTCAAATGAGTAGCCTTGGGTTTATTTCAGCCCAGCATCAATGCCCCAGCAGGTGTCCATACACTGGCCCACCCCTACATCCCTCATCATCATGCCACTTGGTGAGTGACTCTCTTTTATAGGCATCAGTTGTAGGGACTGGCCTGGCCTGATCAACAATACAATCTCTCCCTTGAGGAACTTGTGTTTTCACATGTATCTTAAGAGAAATGGCATTCCTCTTAGTGGACATGTCCTGTCTCCTACGAACTTGGACATTAAGTGTTCAATGAGTATTCAGTCAAGTTATTTGAAGATGAATGTTTCTTCCAAAGTTTTTTATAATATGCAAATATAAAAGAAAGCATTATTTTAAAAAAGTAATTTTCAGAAACAGATGATACGATAGCGTCTCAACTATTACTGTTTATAAAAGCAAATTTGTTTCCTTGACTCTTTCCTAGTTTTGAATTCTTCCTGGTACTTTTTCATATTAGTTGAACTAGGACCCTACTTCCCAGAAGAAACACTTTGGAATGCAGCTGTGAGTAGTGATGATGTAATGCATTCAAGATAGTAGAATAAAAATGAGTTCTTATTGTAAAAAAGAAAAATTTTATTTTAAAAAATGTAAAGTTTTATTTCCTCACAATTTTGTAGAAATGTGGCATTTTAAAACATACATGCCTTAGCATTGACATAGCTACCTTTTTCTGGTGCTACTGAAATACTGAAAATAGATGTTATTTTTCTAAGAAAGCCATTTGGGGCGGAGATAAGCACTTCTCAGCTAATATCACTGATTTTGCCATTTTTATCACAGATTATGTTTGAATCTTCCAGTATTTCAATACTATCTGTGATCTGTGTTCAGCAAGACTGTAAATCATCACACAATAATTCACTCTAATCCTCTGTAGCCTTATCTGTACAGTGGACAAATGGAGGACTCTTGGTTCCAATGGAAGATGGGAACTCGATACTTTTTGTTCTTGAATTATAGTTTCTATAAAGGACATTTCATATGCTTAATATTAAATCTTGAGAGATGGTTCTTGTGAAGAGCTTACTCTAGCTAGTGGAAGTATCATGTGTGGGTGAGTGCACATGTGTGTAAGAAGATAGGGTGTCACATGTTCACACTTTTTCTTCCTATACAAATCTCACTGAACCATGAGTGCACTAGATGGCCCTGGAAAATAGCTATTTATTTATGAAAACCACCACAGTCCACCCTCTACCATTGCCTTTATTCAGGCTCTCACCATCTCTTTCCTGTTGTACTGTTGTTTATGGAAGTTAGGAACCTGACCAGCCTCTCCCCTATCCCTGCCAAAGATAACATAGTCAATTCTGATCACGTTGCTCTACTGTGTAAAAGTATCTCCTGGGTTGAACAGGAGATTAGTAAGATAAATCCTAACTTCTTAATACAGGGAATTTGCCATCTACCTCTCAGGTAGATCACCCAGCCCAGGCCCCTCCCCCTCATCCAAAGGGAAGTATCCATTGGGAACCTTGTACCACTGCATTAGTGATATATTGTGTAATAAACTGTCTCTGACTTCAGCCACTCAAAACATTAAACACTCAGTTTCTGTGGATCAGGAATCCTAGGATAGCTTAGCCACGTGGTTCTGGCCCAGGAGGTTTCATGAGGCTGCAGACAAGATAGCAGCCAGGGCTTGACTAGAGCTGGAGGACCCACTTCCAAGGTTGCTTTCCTGGTGTCAGCAAGAGGCTCCAGTTTTTTACAACATGGGCCTCTCCCTAGGGTTCCGTGGGAGTTCTTAAAACATGGTACCTGGTTTCTGCCAGGGGGAGTGGACCAGCAAGAGAGCATGGAGGAAGCCACTACACTGGACAGTCCTGTGTCCTGAATTACCCACCTCCATCACAGTCAGGTCATTAGAAGTGGGTCGTACTCACAGGGAGGAAGTGGGGCTCCTGGATTTTAAGGGGAGGAATGTGAAGGGACTTGCGGACTTACCTTAAGACTATCCCTGCTGCTGAGGTGCAGAGCTCTGCCTTCCATACAGAATGCTTCTCCTCTGTCCTGGATCTCACAGATGCTCTTTCCAGATGAAACACAACTGTCAACTGGAGAGATTTGTTTGAGTTTCTATGTTTAATGCCATTAGATTTTTCCCATTAGATTGTAATTTCTGTCACAGCCATGGACCCAGCCTTTGCCAGCCTAAAGGGTGCCTTTGTGTGAACTGTAAAGAGGTGTGCCTTCCTGATTTCCTGTCAGGAAAAAAAAAAAAAAACCCTGTCGTAGTAAACATACAAATCTTCAGGGACCATTACATGAACCATGGCCCCAGAGTTGTGAGCCACACAACTAGATGCTTAATAAAAGTGTCGGGGGGGGGGCGGGGGGTTAGAATCACATTTAAGTCCTGTGCCAAACCCACTTAAGAGGTGAAGAACTTCAGTGCCATGGAGACTAAACACCTTAACCAAGATCCCAGAGGAATTAAGTGGCTAGATGAAACTTGAACTCACTTTGATTCCAGCTCTAGATGAAACTTGAACTCACTTTGATTCCAGCTCTAGATGAAACTTGAACTCACTTTGAT